GAATGCAGTTTCATGTTACAATTTGAAGTCATTCTAGAAGAAAAAAAGGGTAATTTAAATTTTTTTTGGTAGTTATGAGGTTGGTAAAATTGACAAACCTTGTATAGAGTTAGGGTAGAGAAAATAACAGATAAAATACAGATAAAGTTTTACTGAAAATAAACATTTGAAATGTATTTAGGAGGTTTTAGAGATTACACAAATAAAATTTTAGATTTTTAAGGTGAAGAAAAGTATTTTTAATCATAACATGAAAATCACCTTGCACACAGACTAGTCAAATAAAATATTCGATATATTCACAAACAAATTATTTTTAGTCTATTAAAAATACTTCACAAAAAAAGTCTGATTTTTTGTATGTGAAAGACTTATAATGTTTATTGAAAGTCAGCCAAATTTTGTGAAGATATACACATTATATTAAAAGTTAGTATCAAAACTATAAACACTTTAAATGAGTACAAAGAGGTCACGTGGTCGGTCAAATTAACCAAGCCCATGTTGAGAGAGAGTTAAGACGGTAACAGAAATATTAATTTCAAATATAAAATCTCTACTAATTAAACACAGAGGTTAAACAATAAAGTAGAAGATTAAATACAAAATATTAATCCTATTTTACCTTTACTCCAAACACCAAATGATAGACAAGTTAAATGAATATTTCTTTCTCCTATAGATTATGAATTGATGGATTTTTTTTCTTTAGAAACATTTCTTCACATAATTATATTAGACAGTTTTGGCAAGTAAAAAGAAAATTCAAATTTGTCACTTCCATAAACACTTACTAAAAATTGGAAGATAATAGAAAATTCTGCAAATTGATTTTAATTTTATATATTTTTCTTAAATTAAATAAGAAATCTATAAATATAAAACAAATTCTTGGCATACAATCATGATATTTATGTAAAAATCAGTGTGAAAGTATTTATGTTATGTTTCATTTATAAACTGACAAGATACAAGTCCTGGCTCTGGTGAGTTAGTGTTCGTTTTTTTTGGTATTTCATAAATATAAATTGTGAACTTATTATTTTTCACCAAATATTTTGTTACCAGTTATATTTTGTAGTTACTCGACTATGGTGAAAGATGGTGCAAAGACAGATTCATAAAAAAAGTTCTTTTGGTGATTGTCATAATAACATGCTTGCATAATATTATACAGTGTTACATAATTATGTTTTAAAATGGTTGTAGACTGTTGAGATGTCACATTGTAAGCCTTAAGAATAAGCTTATTAATTATCTTAATATTCAGTTTTAAATAATATACTTCAGTGTCTGATAGGGAAGAATTTTCGATTTGTAAAACAACAGGATAAATCTACCAATATAATTACTAATTTCTGGATTATTAATAGTGATTACATGTACCAATATGTCAAGGAATATGATTCTGAGTTTGTAAAATTATTTATAAATTTATTTTCATAATAATAAAGATGTAAATTAACTACACAATTTGAATAATTAACTTCCATCAGTACCTATTGCCAAAACGTTTGTGGCTTATTTAAATAATTATATACATACATACGTGTATATTTGTATAAATAGATATATATATGATACATGGTGTAAAATTAAATTATTATCATAAAACTATTAGAAAGACTGTTTTTTATCATATTTTACAGCTACAGCAGTGGTGGAGAAGATGGATATGCTAGAGTTCATGTTTTTGATCCTCTGTTCAACTAAACTGTTGTTTATCATATTTTACAGCTACAGCAGTGGTGGAGAAGATGGATATGTTAGAGTTCATGTTTTTGATCCTCTGTTCAACTAAAATGTTTTTTATCATATTTTACAGCTACAGCAGTGGTGGAGAAGATGGATATGTTAGAGTTCACGTTTTTGATCCTCCATACTTTGATTTTCTATTCGAATGTTAATTCCTCTGAGCTGTAGTGTGGTGAATTGTAAATCAGTTAATAAAGAAAAACTAAACTATTTTACTGTTGTTAGTAGAATTTTTTATAAAGTAACTAGTGAGGTGCCACTAAAACACAAAAGGAGATGAATATTTGTTAACAAAACATATTTTAGCATTTTATTAAAAAGAAGTCAGTCTACATTCATGAAATATATTTTTTCTATTGTCTTTGGGAGATTTGCTGCATTAAGAGAGAGAATTGAACAAGAATTTTATAATATTTGTAAAAAGTATGATTAATATTATATATTGTACTAGAATCGGGTATTTAAATGTCTAATTTCTTCATCACAACACACGAAGTACCTTCCTTATTTAAATATATTCAGGTCAGATCTTGAGGATAACTTAAAAGAAATTTGTTTAATGGAAACCAAACCTTCAAAAATAGATTAGTATTCTCCTAAACGGAAATCATTGGTGATTTATTTCATCCACATTAACTTTCAGAAACAGAAAATATCAGGAGATAAATTGATTTATACTATCTTACCTGAATTATACCAGGTTCTGAGGTGAAATGCTTGATCAGTATAATCTTATCGTGTTAGTTAACACCTATAGATGTTTTAATCATTTGATAAAACTGTATGATTCTAATGTATAACCCAGTTAATTAGGTAGATACATGACGTTTTGTTTATAAATGTAGACCTTTCTGAAGAGTTTTTTTTTTTCTTAAAGGAATAATGTACATTAAGAGATTAAGAAACCCCAACTGTCCAGATCTAATACATAAATAACCCTTCCTTTTATCTTATAATTTCAAATTTTTCACTTTAAGTTATAAATTATAAAAAAAAAGTGCAGAAATAAACAAAAATTGTCAGTGACCTTGGACTTGACCTGTCAGAAAGGTGTCAGGTCAGACAAAGTAACAATATTCTTGGTGAAGATCAATTTATAACTAATAAATAGTTTATTTTCAATAAGTTATAAGTTCTATTGTTTTGTGCCATTGCATTCTTTTCTCTCTAAACCTAACTAGACTTACCCAATGTTATATTAGAGAATTTCTGGAACTTTCCAACAAAAATAATGTAACATAAAACCATTTTCAGGGATGAAAAAAAAACAAATATCTTAAGCTAAGTCTTATAAACTTTCCATTGTTCTTCTGCGCATGAGATATGTCTTGTCACCACCCCAAGAAACCATTAATTATTCCTCAAAACACTTTGTTCACTACACTGATGTACATAATTATAATCTACTTTATCCAATGGTACTTAAACATTACCTGTAACTATTATTAAAGCTGAGCTTCATTGGTAGTTTCTGAGACCGCATGTTGTGAAATCACGAAGGGTGGGAACAAGAGGCTGTACTGGTATAACCTCCTCTATCCAGTGGTATTTAAATTTTGCCTGTGGCTATTTTAAAGGTTGATCGTCAGTAGTAATTGGTGATATCATAAACAGGTGGGAACAAGAGGCTGGTTCCCACCTGTTTATGATATCACCAATTACTACTGACGATCAACCTTTAAAATAGCCACAGGCAAAATTTAAATACCACTGGATAGAGGAGGTTATACCAGTTGAGAGGCTGCAAAAGATAACGAAATTGACATGAGAAACAAAGCCTTGAAGATGTAATTCTTAAGGGATGATAGTTTCATAGCAAATATATAAACCTATGCCCCATCACACCAAACATGCTCACCCTTTCAGCCGTGGGGTGTTATAATGTGACGGTCAATCCCACTATTTGTTGGTAAAAGAGTTGTTGGTGGATGGTGATGACTAACTGCCTTCCCTCTAGTCTTATACTCCTAAATAGCAGATAGCCCTCGTGTAGCTTTGCACGAAATTTATAACATACAAACAAACAAGCTACCTAAGCAGAGAACATTTTGAATAATCTCTAAGTGATTGTAAGTTTAAACATTATTTTTTCTTAGTAAGCTGTACTTAACAAATGTTACAAAATGTATTAATTTTAAAATATTCTTGAATTAAAAATTAAATACAGTTGAATTATAATTTGTACTTTAGTTTTGCACTTGACACATGAAAAGTACTTTATAGTTCAGATTAGGTTAACTGAAGTCTACAGTTTGTTAAAAAACAGGTTTTATGTTAAAATAATAATAAATGTATAATCAGGCTTTGTGTTGATCATGTGGTATATTAGGTACACCAGATGGAGCTACCTACGGACCAGTTGACAGACTGGCTTATGGTGACAGGTTGTCATGCTCCTTTCAGTTGCATAATGAAGATGACCTTAGTTCAGTCATTTCTATCTTAAAGATGCACCTAATGCAGAAATTGGCAGCCACTTTCAGTTTCATTCAAAGCTGACCAAGTAGGGCCTGAAAACAGTGGACTGCATGAGCACATGTTAAATGAATATTCACAGTACTTATAAGTGCTGTACTGTGGGTGAAATGTAGTGCGTTATGACCATTTGAAGTGAAAGAACTGATTCACTAAACAGTTTGTTGTCCAGAAAGTAGGCTGCACTGGCTGGAACAGTTATCAGTTCAAATGATGATATAGTCCTAGTGTTGATCTGTAATTATGAGCATATGTCTATTTAGTCTCATGCTTGAGTGGCTGGAACTGGCTGTACTGCTAGTGTTGCTTCAGTTTCACCATATTTAAGAATGAATGAATGAATCTGAGATTGTTGATTAATGATTTAGCAAACAATATGGTTTCAAATAATGAAAGGAATTCGGTGAGATATGACTGAATATACTGATGTGCTTGTAGGATCAGATGGCCTATTTGGGTAGATATGGGTGATGGGCATCTGACAAAACAACTACCATACAGGCATCCCTTGAACACTAGGAACATAGCTAATGCTAAAATATAAAGCATGTTGAAAGACACAGTAATACAGCTTTTAGGGTGTGCATAGTCATCTCCAATAGTAATTGTCCGTAAGAAGGGTACGTAAAAGTTCTGTGTCATTGTAATTGGGTGAATGAAATGACATGTTGATTTCTTTTCATTACTATGAACAGACAAAAGTCTGGATGCATTGGAAGGTGTCCATTGGTTGAGCACTTAAGACTTGGCTTATAAATACTGCAAGATGAACTGAATGATGTAAGCAGACCTTAGACTGCTTTTAGCAATTGAAACAGCTTGTATAAATATCATTTCCTGCCGTTTCATCTGTGTTGTGTACCTGCCACTTTGGAATGGCTTATAGGTCTGCATTGAGAAAGCTGCAGTGGAGAGAGAGATGCTTGGTTTATGTTGATGATATCTTGGTATCTGATAATATTGTTTCAGTTTGGTGCTGAAAACTTATGAATGTTTTTCTTTAGTGAGTAAGAAAGGCAGGCTTGAAACTAGGGAATTGTTCACCAAAGTATACATTTATGTAATTACTTGGACACATTGTGGGAGGAAATGGTTTGTCTACTAACCCTATGAAAGACAAAGCAGACAGAGAATGACCCCTCGATAAAGTGAGAGATCCTGCAATTTCATTGCAAGTCATATACTGATGGTTCCCGAATGCAAATAGCAGATACTGAATGACAAAATAAGAACTGTTTGCAGCTGTTGCATTTATCAAGCATTACCACCAATACCTATGTGGTAGGAAGTTCACCATTCAGGTGGACAATTCATCACAGAAATAACTTAAGAATCCGGAAAGGATAATTGCACATTGGATAACAATGATGCAGAAGTATAACTATCGTGCAACATTACCTGATCCAGCAACATGAAAATGCCACTGGATTATCTTGTTAGATGATGAGAGTTTGCTTGTTCATTGTGTCATGATATAAAAAACTGTTTAGTTTAGATATTGTTAATTAATTTATATTTGTTAGTGAATATTTTATTATTGTTTAGTTTTTGTTATAATAAGAGTTAAAAGCAGACGATTGTAGGAAGTTGTGTTTATAAGTCATTGATATTGAGACTATCGAATGTTGCGTGCAGTACACTGACGTTGAGAATATAGAGATTTCTTGAAGGCGGGCAAACGATTAAGTGATAAACATATAAATAGTGTGAGACGATCGGAAACAGCAGACAGACAACAGCAGCTTTCAGAGAAGTTTGAGGGACTTTGCTGGCACTGTAATAAACCTGGGCACAAGAGAGCTCAATGCTGGCAACTTCAACACAGAGAAGATGCCAAGCAGGAAAGGCTGCTACCCAGAAAGGTTGTTGGAACTGTGGAGAGCAAGGACATATGAGGAGCCAGTGTAAGAAGAACACTACCAATAAGTCAGCTTCGGGAAACTAGTATTGGTTGGTGCTGAGGGATGCCCACCAACCTCCATCGTGAAA